CTGTGCAACTTCTGTTTCGTCGAAAGCCCATCTGTGCTTCTGAAAGTTGATACTCTATCAATGGTCTCAGCCTTTTTTCGATGATCTTAGCATACATTTTCCCAGTGTGACTGAGAAGTGATATTCCTCTGTAATTAGTACATTCCCTCTTACTTCTTTTATTTTTCCACAGCGGGACAATGACAGCAGTTTGCCAATCTGATGGTGTTTCTTGATTTTCCCATGCCACCTGAAATATTCTCTTTAACCATATTGCTCCCGTTTCTCCTGCTGCCTTGATGGCCTCAGCTGGTAGATCATCAATACCTGTCGCCTTTAGTCTAGGCGCGGTTCGAATGACATATTTTACCTCATCCAATAATATACCTGGTTCTAGTTCCTCTGCTGTTAGTTCCGAGTTGTTTTTATGTTCTTCCCTGCTTTTATCTGTTTATCTGTATGTAGTCAGACTTTATAAACTGCACAGCCAGTCACTGTATGTCTGTAGTCAGACTTTATAAACTGCACAGCCAGTCACTGCATGTCTGTAGTCAGACTTTATAAACTGCACAGCCAGTCACTGCATGTATGTAGTCAGACTTTATAAACTGAACAGCCAGTCACTGCATGTATGTAGTCAGACTTTATAAACTGAACAGCCAGTCACTGCATGTCTGTAGTCAGACTTTATAAACTGCACAGCCAGTCACTGTATGTCTGTAGTCAGACTTTATAAACTGAACAGCCAGTCACTGCATGTATGTAGTCAGACTTTATAAACTGAACAGCCAGTCACTGCATGTCTGTAGTCAGACTTTATAAACTGAACAGCCAGTCACTGCATGTCTGTAGTCAGACTTTATAAACTGAACAGCCAGTCACTGCATGTATGTAGTCAGACTTTATAAACTGAACAGCCAGTCACTGCATGTCTGTAGTCTGACTTTATAAACTGCACAGCCAGTCACTGCATGTCTGTAGTCAGACTTTATAAACTGAACAGCCAGTCACTGCATGTCTGTAGTCTGACTTTATAAACTGCACAGCCAGTCACTGCATGTCTGTAGTCAGACTTTATAAACTGAACAGCCAGTCACTGCATGTATGTAGTCAGACTTTATAAACTGAACAGCCAGTCACTGCTCAGAAGAAGAAGTATATCCCTGTGTTCTTGCGAGATTTATTATAGACATGTGGTTCTAGGATTGTCCAGTCCTGTCTCTGCAGTCATTTACCTCCAATCTCAGTCTTCCAGCTGCTGTGTTCCAGCATAAGTAATGGTCAGTGCACTTTGGTGAAAGCTTTTTTCTCATTCACTAACCATCCACTGACCACTTTGCTCATTCACTGACCACTTTGCTCATTCACTGACCATTTATTGATCAGTTTGCTCATTCACCAACCATTCACTGACCAGTTTGCTCATTCATGGACCAGTTTGCTCATTCAGTGACAAGTTTGCTCCAGTTTGCTCCATTCACTAACCATCCACTGATCAGTTTGCTCATTCATGGACCAGTTTGCTCCAGTTTGCTCATTCACTAAACATCCACTGACCAGTTTGCTCATTCAATGACAAGTTTGCTCCAGTTTGCTCATTCAATGACAAGTTTGCTCCAGTTTGCTCATTCAATGACAAGTTTGCTCCAGTTTGCTCATTCAATGACAAGTTTGCTCCAGTTTGCTCATTCAATGACAAGTTTGCTCCAGTTTGCTCATTCAATGACAAGTTTGCTCCAGTTTGCTCATTCAATGACAAGTTTGCTCCATTTTGCTCATTCACTAACCATCCACTGACCAGTTTGCTCATTCATGGACCAGTTTGCTCATTCATGGACCAGTTTGCTCATTCAATGACAAGTTTGCTCCAGTTTGCTCATTCAATGACAAGTTTGCTCCAGTTTGCTCATTCAATGACAAGTTTGCTCCAGTTTGCTCATTCAATGACAAGTTTGCTCCAGTTTGCTCATTCACTAACCATCCATTGACCAGTTTGCTCATTCATGGACCAGTTTGCTCATTCATGGACCAGTTTGCTCATTCAATGACAAGTTTGCTCCAGTTTGCTCATTCAATGACAAGTTTGCTCCAGTTTGCTCATTCAATGACAAGTTTGCTCCAGTTTGCTCATTCAATGACAAGTTTGCCCCAGTTTGCTCATTCAATGACAAGTTTGCTCCAGTTTGCTCATTCAATGACAAGTTTGCTCCAGTTTGCTCATTCACTAACCATCCACTGACCAGTTTGCTCATTCACTAACCATCCATTGACCAGTTTGCTCATTCAATGACAAGTTTGCTCCAGTTTGCTCATTCAATGACACGTTTGCTCCAGTTTGCTCATTCACTAACCATCCACTGACCAGTTTGCTTATTCACTGACCACCCAGTGACCAGTTTGCTCATCCACTGACCAGTTTGCTCATCCACTGACCAGTTTGCTCATTCAATGTCAAGTTTGCACCAGTTTGCTCATTCACTAACCATCCATTGACAAGTTTGCTTATTCACTGACCACCCAGTGACCAGTTTGCTCATTCACTAACCATCCATTGACCAGTTTGCTCATTCAATGACAAGTTTGCCCCAGTTTGCTCATTCAATGTCAAGTTTGCCCCAGTTTGCTCATTCAATGTCAAGTTTGCCCCAGTTTGCTCATTCACTAACCATCCACTGACAAGTTTGCTTATTCACTGACCACCCAGTGACCAGTTTGCTCATCCACTGACCAGTGTGCTCATTCACTAACCACCCACTGACATACCGCTACTCAAGGAATGTGTATGCCAGCCAGTAATCCTTGCATGTATGTGTCCCTGCTGGCTGCTGTTTGGATTATTGATTGTTTACTAACATCAACCAGTTGCCCTGGAGAACCAACAAATAGTGATATCATGAGTTGTCACTGTTTAGCATGCTCTTGTTTGTTTTACTGATGTTTTCTTTTCAGTTTTTCTGACATTTTTCTTTAGTTTTTCTGAGGTTTCTATTTAATTTTTGTGACATTTTTCTTTAGTTTTTGTGACATTTCTCTTCTTCATTACTTTTTCTCTTCAAGTGTATAGACATTTCTCTTAAATTTAACTAACATGAGAACAAGGGACAGTGTAGGAAATTAGAGCAGGCGACAGTGGTAGGAATGTTAATATGGGACAGTTGAGGGAATGAGAACAGGGTGACAGTGGAGGAAATAAGAACAGGGTGACAGTGGAGGAAATGTTAACATGGGACAGTTGAGGGAATGAGAACAGGGTGACAGTGGAGGGAATAAGAACAGGGTGACAGTGGAGGAAATAAGAACAGGGTGACAGTGGAGGGAATAAGAACAGGGTGACAGTGTAGGGAATTAGAGCAGGGGACAGTGGTAGGAATGTTAACATGGGACAGTTGAGGGAATGAGAACAGGGTGACAGTGGAGGAAATAAGAACAGGGTGACAGTGTAGGGAATTAGAACAGGGGACAGTGGAGGAAATAAGAACAGGGTGACAGTGGAGGGAATAAGAACAGGGTGACAGTGGAGGAAATGTTAACATGGGACAGTGGAGGGAATAAGAACAGGGTGACAGTGTAGGGAATTAGAGCAGGGGACAGTGGTAGGAATGTTAACATGGGACAGTTGAGGGAATGAGAACAGGGTGACAGTGGAGGAAATAAGAACAGGGTGACAGTGTAGGGAATTAGAACAGGGGACAGTGGAGGAAATAAGAACAGGGTGACAGTGGAGGGAATAAGAACAGGGTGACAGTGGAGGAAATGTTAACATGGGACAGTTGAGGGAATGAGAACAGGGAACAGTGGAGGGAATAAGAACAGGGGACAGTGGAGGAAATAAGAACAGGGTGACAGTGGAGGAAATAAGAACAGGGTGATAGTGGAGGGAATAAGTCAGGGTGACAGTTGAGGGAATAAGAACAGGGTGACAGTGGAGGAAATAAGAACAAGGTGACAGTGGAGGAAATAAGAACAGGGTGAAAGTGGAGGAAATAAGAACAGGGGGACAGTGGAGGAAATAAGAACAGGGGGACAGTGGAGGAAATAAGAACAGGGTGACAGTGGAGGAAATAAGAACAGGGTGACAGTGGAGGGAATAAGAACAGGGTGACAGTGGAGGGAATAAGAACAGGGTGACAGTGGAGGGAATAAGAACAGGGTGACAGTGGAGGAAATGTTAACATGGTGACAGTGAAAGGACAGTTTTGACACACATGTTTGGATTGATTAAGCTGATGATGATAGTAAGAACAAAGGACAGGAAGGAGATGATTTCTGTGTAGTTCATAGATTCAGATTTTTTCAGTTGATCTATGGATACAGTCAATCATATATTTCTGATTATGTTATTTACACAGTTGTCTATTTCTCCATGTGTAACTAGTACATCTAGTCATATGTTTCTGTATAGTTAATTGGTACATCTAGTCATATAATTCTGTTCTGTCAACTATACATCTAGTCATAAATTTCTGTGTAGTTAACTGGTACAGTCAGTAATATGTCTCTGTAAAGTTAACTGGTATAGTCAGTCATATTTTTCTTTTTATTTAACTGGTACATCTAGCCAATTAATTCTGCATAGTTAACTGGTGCATCTAACATATAATTTGTAAAGTTAACTGGTACATCTAGCCATATAATTCTGTATAGTTAACTGGCACATCTAACCTTATATTTTTGTATAGTTAACTGGTACATCTAACCATATAATTATGTTTAGTTAACTGGTACAGTCATATATTTCTGAATAGTTAACTGATATAGTCAGTAATATATTTCTGAATAGTTAATTAATACAGTCAGTTATATATTTTATATAGTGAACTGGTACAGTCTGTCATATATTTCTGTATAGTTAAACTGGTACAGTCAGTCCTATATTTTTGTATAGTTAACTGGTACAGTCAGTCATGTATTTCCGAATGTTAAGCATAATTAAATAATCACATATTTGTGTAGATGTGTGTACATGAGCATTTAGTGGAAACACTGACCTGTTATATCATTGCTGTTCTGATACAATCCAGGGCTGAACCAAACCTTGGCTGAAATAATAGCTTCAACACCCGAGCTAGAGGAGTCTCACGACTCCCTGGGATCGCTGGGACACTTGGACCAGCACCACAGTTCCACGTAAGTTCATCTCTCACTTATCAGACACTTGGACCAGCACCACAGTTCCACGTAAGTTCATCTCTCACTTGTCAGACACTTGGACCAGCACCACAGTTCCACGTAAGTTCATCTCTCACTTGTCAGACACTTGGACCAGCACCACAGTTCCACGTAAGTTCATCTCTCACTTGTCAGACACTTGGACCAGCACCACAGTTCCACGTAAGTTCATCTCTCACTTGTCAGACACTTGGACCAGCACCACAGTTCCACGTAAGTTCATCTCTCACTTGTCAGACACTTGGACCAGCACCACAGTTCCACGTAAGTTCATCTCTCACTTGTCAGACACTTGGACCAGCACCACAGTTCCACGTAAGTTCATCTCTCACTTGTCAGACACTTGGACCAGCACCACAGTTCCACGTAAGTTCATCTCTCACTTGTCAGACACTTGGACCAGCACCACAGTTCCACGTAAGTTCATCTCTCACTTGTCAGACACTTGGACCAGCACCACAGTTCCACGTAAGTTCATCTCTCACTTGTCAGTTTATTTTAAGCTCATAGAAATATCGGGGTCAAAGGCTATTCAGTGAATAGATTTCATGTTTGTTTAATTGCATTGCATTCATTCATATGTCCATCTGTCTAACCTGAGTCACCATACTTCTGTCTGTTGAATCCATTACCTTTCACATTACGATGTTGAGATGACATAGAACTGTGGATTACATAAAGGTTGAGATCATATAGAACTAGGTTACATGGATTTTGAGATGATATAGAACTGTGGATGATGGGAATGTTGAGATGATATAGAAGTGTGGATTACATGAATGTTTAGATGATATAGAACTATGGATTGCATGAATGTTGCCATTATATAGAACTGGGGATTACATGAATTTTGACATTATATAGAACTGTGGATTACATGAATGTTGAGATGATATAGAACTGTAGATTACACGGATGTTGAGATGATATAGAACTGTGGATTCCATCAAGGTTGAGATGATATAGAACTGTAGATTACATCAAGGTTAAGATGATATAGAACTGTAGATTACAAGATTACATGAATGTTATGATGATATAGAACCATGGATTACACGGATGTTGAAATAATATAGAACTGTGGAATAACATAAATGTTGAGATCATATAGAACTAGATTACTTGAATGTTGAGATGATTTAGAATTGTGGATGATGTGAATGTTGATTGAGATGATATAGAACTGTAGATTACATAAATTTTGATATGATATAAAACTGTGGATGATGTGAATGTTGAGATGATATAGAACTGTGGATTACATAAATGTTGAGAGGATATGAAACTGTGGATGATGTAAATGTTGAGATGATATAAAACTGTGGATGGTGTGAATATTGAGATGATATAGAACTGTGGATAATGTGAATATTGAGATGATATAGAACTGTGGATTACATAAATGTTGAGATGATATAAAACTGTGGATGATGTGATTGTTGAGATGATATAAAACTGTGGATGATGTGATTGTTGAGATGATATAAAACTGTGGATTACATAAATGTTGAGATGATATAAAACTGTGGATGATGTGATTGTTGAGATGATATAAAACTGTGGATGATGTGATTGTTGAGATGATATAAAACTGTGGATTACATAAATGTTGAGATGATATAAAACTGTGGATGATGTGATTGTTGAGATGATATAAAACTGTGGATGATGTGATTGTTGAGATGATATAAAACTGTGGATGATGTGATTGTTGAGATGATATAAAACTGTGGATGATGTGATTGTTGAGATGATATAAAACTGTGGATGATGTGATTGTTGAGATGATATAAAACTGTGGATGATGTGATTGTTGAGATGATATAAAACTGTGGATGATGTGATTGTTGAGATGATATAAAACTGTGGATGATGTGATTGTTGAGATGATATAAAACTGTGGATGATGTGATTGTTGAGATGATATAAAACTGGATTACATAGATGTTGAGATGATATAAAACTGGATTACATAAATGTTGTGATGATATAAAACTGTGGATGATGTGATTGTTGAGATGATATAAAACTGTGGATGATGTGATTGTTGAGATGATATAAAACTGTGGATGATGTGATTGTTGAGATGATATAAAACTGTGGATGATGTGATTGTTGAGATGATATAAAACTGTGGATGATGTGATTGTTGAGATGATATAAAACTGTGGATGATGTGATTGTTGAGATGATATAAAACTGTCTATAATATGATTGTTGAGATGATATAAAACTGTGGATGATGTGATTGTTGAGATGATATAAAACTGTCTATAATATGATTATTGAGATGATATAAAACTGTGGATGATGTGATTGTTGAGATGATATAAAACTGTCTATAATATGATTGTTGAGATGATATAAAACTGTCTATAATATGTTTGTTGAGATGATATAAAACTGTGGATGATGTTATTGTTGAGATGATATAAAACTGTCTATAATATGATTGTTGAGATGATATAAACTGTCTATAATATGATTGTTGAGATGATATAAAACTGTGGATTACATAAATGTTGAGATGATATAAAACTGTGGATGATGTGATTGTTGAGATGATATAAAACTGTGGATTACATAAATGTTGAGATGATATAAAACTGTGGATGATGTGATTGTTGAGATGATATAAAACTGTGGATGATGTGATTGTTGAGATGATATAAAACTGTGGATTACATAAATGTTGAGATGATATAAAACTGTGGATGATGTGATTGTTGAGATGATATGAAACTGTGGATGATGTGATTGTTGAGATGATATAAAACTGTGGATGATGTGATTGTTGAGATGATATAAAACTGTGGATTACATAAATGTTGAGATGATATGAAACTGTGGATGATGTGATTGTTGAGATGATATAAAACTGTGGATGATGTGATTGTTGAGATGATATAAAACTGTGGATGATGTGATTGTTGAGATGATATAAAACTGTGGATTACATAAATGTTGAGATGATATAAAACTGTGGATGATGTGATTGTTGAGATGATATAAAACTGTGGATGATGTGATTGTTGAGATGATATAAAACTGTGGATTACATAAATGTTGAGATGATATAAAACTGTGGATGATGTGATTGTTGAGATGATATAAAACTGTGGGTGATGTGATTGTTGAGATGATATAAAACTGTGGATGATGTGATTGTTGAGAGATGATATAAAACTGTGGATGATGTGATTGTTGAGATGATATAAAACTGTGGATGATGTGATTGTTGAGATGATATAAAACTGTGGATGATGTGATTGTTGAGATGATATAAAACTGTGGATGATGTGATTGTTGAGATGATATAAAACTGTGGATGATGTGATTGTTGAGATGATATAAAACTGGATGATGTGATTGTTGAGATGATATAAAACTGGATTACATAAATGTTGAGATGATATAAAACTGGATTACATAAATGTTGAGATGATATAAAACTGTGGATGATGTGATTGTTGAGATGATATAAAACTGTGGATGATGTGATTGTTGAGATGATATAAAACTGGATTACATAAATGTTGAGATGATATAAAACTGTGGATGATGTGATTGTTGAGATGATATAAAACTGTGGATGATGTGATTGTTGAGATGATATAAAACTGTGCTTGATGTGATTGTTGAGATGATATAAAACTGTGGATGATATGATTGTTGAGATGATATAAAACTGTGCTTGATATGATTGTTGAGATGATATAAAACTGTGCTTGATATGATTGTTGAGATGATATAAAACTGTGGATGATGTGATTGTTGAGATGATATAAAACTGTGGATGATGTGATTGTTGAGATGATATAAAACTGTGGATGATGTGATTGTTGAGATGATATAAAACTGTGGATGATGTGATTGTTGAGATGATATAAAACTGTGCTTGATGTGATTGTTGAGATGATATAAAACTGTGCTTGATATGATTGTTGAGATGATATAAAACTGTGGATGATGTGATTATTGAGATGATATAAAACTGTGGATGATATGATTGTTGAGATGATATAAAACTGTGTTGATGTGATTGTTGAGATGATATAAAACTGTTGATGATGTGATTGTTGAGAAGATCTGGAACTGTAAATTGCAGGCACAATGACAGTTCTATGTTTGATGAGATCCAGGCTACAGACATTGCTGAAGTTGACTTTGCTGCAGGAATTTCAGGTCAGTTGATCTCAGTGACTTGGTTTAACATCTTTACCAGACGGCTGCCACTGGTACACCTAGCCAACCACTTCTAGTTGTATTTTCCTTCCACACGGCTGCCACTGGTACACCTAGCCAACCACTTCTAGTTGTATTTTCCTTCCACACGGCTGCCACTGGTACACCTAGCCAACCACTTCTAGTTGTATTTTCCTTCCACACGGCTGCCACTGGTACACCTAGCCAACCACTTCTAGTTGTATTTTCCTTCCACACGGCTGCCATTGGTACACCTAGCCAACCACTTCTAGTTGTATTTTCCTTCCACACGGCTGCCACTGGTACACCTAGCCAACCACTTCTAGTTGTATCTTCCTTCCACACGGCTGCCACCAACCTACTACTTCTAGTTGTATTGCCCTTCCACATGATTACCACTGATATGGCCCATGCAATCATCCATCTGATTTATCTCCTGCCTGTATAGTTGCTTATGTGTCCCATGGAATCATCCATCTGATTTATCTCCAGCCTGTATAGTCGCTTGTGTGTCCTATAGAATCATCCATCTGATGTATCTCTGGCCTGTAAAGTTGCTTGTGTGTCCCAAGAAATCATCCATCTGATGTATCTCTGGCCTGTATAGTTGCTTATGTGTCTTATAGAATCATCTATCTGATGTATCTCTGGCCTGTATAGTTGCTTATTTGTCATATAGAATTATCCATCTGATGTTATCTCTGGCCTGTATAATTGCTTGTGTGTCCTATAGAAGCATCCATCTGATGTATCTCTGGCCTGTAAAGTTACTTGTTTGTCCCTGTGGGCCCAAAAGCTCTTGTCAGTTGTTGCTAGCTGCAGACAGTTCCCAATTCAGACAGGTCAAGTAGAGGCAGTAAATGATGCTGGAGACATACTGCTGCTCATGAAATAGACCTAACAGAAACACTAGACCACAGGTTGGCTGCCACAGTGCAGTGGGACCCACTCCATGATGACCTGTACGACATGTGCCAGGCAACAGTGAATGTTGAGGCTGGTCTTTCTATCTAGTCACTGAGGAAAAGTCCAGTTGACACTCATAGATGAAATATGAATCTGAGTCTCCACACTAAACTGTGCCAGCAGGGACTGAGATATAGAACTCCCCAGCCTGCAGATTTGCCTGCTTACACTGTAACACCATTTGACTTGTATTTCTCTAGAGCCACCAGCTGATGCAGGAGGCAGTGGATCCCTGGGTAACCTTGATGTTGTGTGCACACAGCATGCTGACTGTTGGTTCTTGGCTGTATTCATGGTGAATGTTGTTTGGTGGTCACAATGTTTACAGTCTGTCCTGCCCGTGGTGTATTTATGGTTCAATGTCTGTGCTACCAGTTCTCCTCCTCCTTTGCATTCATCAGCAGTAAATTCTGGCAGAAAGTTATGGTTGTTTGTCCACTTCTGGACTTTGGTCTTGTTCCAGAGCTTGAGTTTGACTGTTGATTTCTCACCTCTCAGGTAGGGGCACCCCGACTTTGAATGAACCACCCCTAATAAGTCATTTTGTATATTTGTGAAGGGTCAGTGGCTGTATTAGTTTGCTTCCCCGGAACCCACACGGGGATGTGCTACCAGTAGTCATCTCATCATTCTGTTTCAGCAGGAATATCTTGTATGAAACCCTCAGCTGTTGTTCTGTATCCTGGAATTGTTCACAAATCTATGGCTGCTTAGGCTGTGGAGATACAGGAAACTTCCCCCCAGTTCTTACATGTAGAGTGTTCCATTTTGTTTTTTCTAGGCACCATTTTCCATTCAACTACCTGGTCACCCCACCCACTATGTCAGACACATCCGCTGTTACCTCTCACATCTCAGGGAACATCCCCAGTTAACTATCATGTCTCAGGGAACTTCCCCAGTTAACTATCATGACTCAGGGAACATCCCCATTAGCTCTCTTGTATCAGGGAACTTCCCCAGTTAACTATCTTGTCTCAGGAATCATCCCCAGTTACCTCTCATGTCTCAGGGAACTTCCCTAGTTAAATATCATGTCTTAGGGAACTTCCCCAGTTAACTATCATGACTCAGGGAAGTTCCCCAGTTAACTATCATGTCTCAGGGAACTTCCCCAGTTAACTATCATGTCTCAGGGAGCATCCCCATTACCTCTCATGTCTCGGGGAACTTCCCCAGTTACTGCTCATGTCTCAGGGAACTTCCCCAGTTACCTCTCATGTCTCAGGGTACATCCCCATTACCTTTCTTGTCTCAGGGAACATCCCCAGTTAACTCTCAAGTCTCCTGGAACATCCCCAGTTAACTCCCATGTCTTGGGAAACATCACCAGTAAACACTTATGTCTTGGGAAAAATCCCAAGTTAACTCCCATGTCTCGGGGAACATCACCAGTTAACTCTCATGTCTCAGGGAACTTCCAACTTTCCCAGTTACCTCCCCTGGTTTTCCTGGTCAAGGAACATTCATAAAAACCCCAAAAAAACATCTTTAATTACCTACTTGCTGACCTCCCAGAGAACCTGTATCTTCTCCTTTGGTTGCTGACCTCCCAGAGAACCTGTATCTTCTCCTTTGGTTGCTGACCTCCCAGAGAACCTGTATCTTCTCCTTTGGTTGCTGACCTCCCAGAGAACCTGTATCTTCTCCTTTGGTTGCTGACCTGCCAGAGAACCTGTATCTTCTCCTTTGGTTGCTGACCTCCCAGAGAACCTGTATCTTCTCCTTCGGTTGCTGACCTCCCAGAGAACCTGTATCTTCTCCTTTGGTTGCTGACCTGCCAGAGAACCTGTATCTTCTCCTTTGGTTGCTGACCTCCCAGAGAACCTGTATCTTCTCCTTCGGTTGCTGACCTCCCAGAGAACCTATATCTTCTCCTTCTGTTGCTGACCTCCCAGAGAACCTGTATCTTCTCCTTTGGTTGCTTACCTCCCAGAGAACCTATATCTTCTCCTTCGGTTGCTGACCTCCCAGTGTGGGTTCAGGGCCCCATTTTGGGAATAACAAGTATAGGCCCACTGCCCCTAACTAACATGCCATCAAAGGGCACTAATGAGGGATGTTTCCTTTAAACTATGAGAGACCTTCAACCAAAAAGTCTGCATACAAATAAGCCAGATCTGTAAAACAGATGTGCACACTCAATTTCTGGAACAAAACTGAAGTCCAGAAATGGATGAACAGACAGAACTTTCCGCTGGAGCTTACAGCTGGCAAGTTTGAAGAAGAAATGTTACTGATCAACTAGATCTGTTTCATTGCATTGACTTCATGTCTCAGAGATGGGGATACAGCAGCCAACTGGAGCTGTTGCCTGGCATTTGTTTAGCTCAGAGGTAGAGAACAGTCAGCTCTGTATCTAAGCTGGAGTTGAGCTGTAACTGTCTACACATGGTCCATGTTGTTTGCAGGGTCCCATGCGCAGTGTCTCAGATGACCACAACTGTCTACACTCAGTCCATGTTGTGATCATTGTTTGCAGGGTCCCATGTGCAGGGTTCCATGCGCAGGGTCCCATGCGCAGTGTTCCATGCGCAGGGTCCCATGCGCAGGGTCCCATGTGTAGGGTCCCATGTGCAGGGTCCCATGTGCAGGGTCCCATGTGCAGGGTCCCATGTGCAGAAGATGATCACAACTGTAGCAGTTTAGCCACCGTTTGTTTGGTCAGCTGTGTTCTATGTTTGTGTTTATGCATGAGTGTCTACCTGTGAATATTTTGGAAACTGGCCAGTGAAATAATCCATATGACTGTAAAGTTCGGATGTTGGTAGATTGGATATGATGTTGTCTAGAGCATGGTCTCTGCATGGTAACAGTGTGTTCCTGTCTGAGTACTGTAGCAGTTATCACAGTAGATGGCTATCACAGGCGTCATGTAGTCAGTTGATTGCAGTTGAGCATGAAACTGGTTCCCTCACAGTTGTTCACTGTTGATGTTTTGTTGTAAATGTTGGATCACTGTTCAACACTCAATGTATTATCTGCACAGATGAGCACAGTGGTTTGTGTTGTGTTTATCAACAACCAGGCAGCACAGTGGTTTTCCTCGAAGTTGGAGTGCATCTGTCTGAGAGGTGGGGAACCAGCAGTCTGCATACAAATAAGCCAGATTTGTAGAACAGATGTGCACATAACACTCAAGTTCTGGAACAAGACTCAAGTTCTGAAGTAAACAAACAACCAGAAATTTCTGCTGGTATTTAAGGCCGGTGAACATTTAGGAAAATGAGTATTGTTTGTGTCGACAATCAGGTAGCATAGTAGGTTGTATTGTCTGTTGACAACCAGGCTGGAAATGGTTTTTCTGTTGACAACCAGGCTGGCAATAAGTTTGTCTGTTGACGGCCAGGCGACACAATGCATGTCTGGTGTGTGAGTGTGATCATATTCAACGTAAATCTGAAGAGGATTAATCTCAGCTGCATGAGGGTGTTGCTTGCTGTAGAAATAAGATTGTAGAGAGGCTATCTGAGGATTGAGCCACACAGAGAGAGGTTTGAGTCGCACAGAGTGAGGGTTGAGTCACACATACTGAGGGTTGAATCACACAGACAGGGTTGAGTCACACAGACTGAGGGTTGAATCACACAGACAGGGTTGAGTCACACAGACTAAAAATTGAGTCACAGACTAAAAATTGAGTCACACAGATTGAGGGTTGAATCACACAGACAGGGTTGAGTCACACAGACTAAAAATTGAGCCACAGACTAAAAATTGAGTCACACAGACTGAGGGTTGAGTCACACAGACAGGGTTGAGTCACACAGACTAAAAATTAAGTCACAGACTAAAAATTGAGTCACACAGACTGAGGGTTGAGTCGCACTGACAGGATTGAGTCACACTGACAAGGTTGAGTCACACAGACTGATTTTTGAGTCACACTTACAAGGTTGAGTCACACTGACTGAATTTTGAGTCACACTTACAGGGTTCAGTCACACTGACAAGGTTGAGTCACACAGACTGATTGTTGAGTCACACTGACAGGGATGAGTCACACTGACAGGGTTTAGTCACACTGACAGGGTTGAGTCACACTGACTGATTGTTGAGTCACACTGACAGGGTTTGAGTCACACTGACAGGGTTGAGTCACACTGACAGGGTTGAGTCACACTGACAGGGTTGAGTCACACTGATTGTTGAGTCACACAGACTGATTGTTGAGTCACACTGACAGGGTTTGAGTCACACTGACAGGGTTGAGTCACACTGACAGGGTTGAGTCACACTGACAGGATTGAGTCACACTGACAGGGTTGAGTCACACCGACAGGGTTGAGTCACACAGACTGATTGTTGAGTCACACTGACAGGGTTTGAGTCACACAGACTGAGGGTTGAGTCACACTGGCAGGGTTGAGTCACACAGACTGAGGGTTGAGTCACACAGACTGAGGGTTGAGTTACACAGACTGAGGGTTGAGTCACACAGACTGAGGGTTGAGTCACACAGACTGAGGGTTGAGTTACACAGACTGAGGGTTGAGTCACACAGACTGAGGGTTGAGTTACACAGACAGGGTTGCATCACACTGACAGGATTGAGTCATACTGACAGGGTTGAGTCACACAGACTGAGGGTTGAGTCACACAGACTGAGGGTTGAGTCACACTGACAGGGTTAGAGTCACACTGACAGGGTTGAGTCACACTGACAGGGTTGAGTCACACAGATTGTTGAGTCACACAGACTGATTGTTGAGTCACACTGACAGGGTTGAGTCACACAGACAGGGTTGCATCACACTGACAGGATTGAGTCATACTGACAGGATTGAGTCATACTGACAGGGTTGAGTCACACAGACTGAGGGTTGAGTCACACAGACTGAGGGTTGAGTCACACTGACAGGGTTAGAGTCACACAGACTGAGGGTTGAGTCACACTGACAAGGTTGAGTCACACTGACAGGGTTGAGTCACACTGACAGGGTTTGAGTCACACAGACTGAGGGTTAAGTTACATTGATAGGGTTGAGTCACACTGACAGGGTTTTAGTCACACAGACTGAGGGTTAAGTTACACTGACAGGGTTGAGTCACACAGACTGATTGTTGAGTCACACAGACTGATTGTTGAGTCACACTGACACGGTTTGAGTCACACTGACAGGGTTTGAGTCACACAGACTGAGGGTTAAGTTACACTGACAGGGTTGAGTCACACAATCTGAGGGTTGAGTCACATTGACAGGGTTGAGTCACATTGACAGGGTTGAGTCACATAGACTGAGGGTTGAGTCACATAGACTGAGGGTTGAGTCACATAGACTGAGGGTTGAGTCACATAGACTGAGGGTTGAGTCACATAGACTGAGGGTTGAGTCACACAGACTGAGGGTTGAGTCACACAGACTGAGTGTTGAGTCACACTGACATGGTTTGAGTCACACTGACAGGGTTGAGTCACACAGACCGAGGGTTGAGTTACACAGACTGAGGGTTGAATCACACAGACTGAGGTACAAAAGAAGGAAGATTTCCAGCTCTAGTGAGGCTCCAGGAAACTAACTTAACATACCCCTACTTCCCGCCTTAACAGTGTGGGACAAGAATGCTGTCATACTCAAAGTCTTGTCTGTTTCTCACTTTGATGATCTCATGCTGGAGCATCTGTTGGTTGACTTGTTGGGCTGTGATGGAATCAGTTATTTCATATATTCCCACTTCATCTTGTCACTGATTTCACCAATGGCTTTCAGCCAACACATGTTGTATCTCTGTCTCTCTCTTTTGTATGTGGTTCAAATGGTTGCTGTAATGATTCTAGAGCACACATGTGCCTGTGTGTGTTCTACTGACAGCACTGTGTCACACTGACAAGGAACCCTCTGTATCGCCAGTTGTCTTGTATAATGTCATTGTGCACATCTAATAGTTTCACTCACCCCCCACCTATGCTGTCTTTCCCCAGTGATAGTGATGCAGTGGCAACATCCCAGGAGCCTGTGCTGGAGATCTGTGCTGATAAGAGTTGATCCTGACTCCATTGGGCTTCCTCCATATTATGCTTCTCTAGGAAAAGAACCTCCTTGTCTTTTACTTGTTGTCTTCCTTTTTCTTCTTTTTCTGCCTTTCAGCTCCTAATGGAGCATAGAGGTTCAACTAGTAGACCTAATAAAGCTGTTAATGATTGGTTGGATATATTGCAACTACAGTTTTCAATGGGAGGAGGTAGCTAGTCCTGATATGACTGGCCCTGCAGAGTCAGCTGTGCCAACATGCATGCTAGATGATGTACCGTTGTCAGAGATACACACCAGCATGAGAGCAGGCTGTTGTTGTCATCTTATATTTGCTGTTGTTTGTTGCATGTTTTTTGATGTTGTTATCTTGCAGATAGTGACAAAGAAGATGAGGAGGAGGATGAGGAAAGCAAAGACAATGACAGAGATTCCGGTATGTTGTTCTCTGTCAACTGTTGCTGGCTAACATCTGTATGATCATCATGAGGTTTCTACATTTGCTGTATTTTCTAATGATCAGTTTGTGAACTAGCTGTGACCCACAACAACACAATGAGTCCCACCGCAGACTGCAGACTCAGGTGGCAGGCAGACAGTTTTAACAGTGTGCCACCTGCCAGACATAGAAACCTGACCACAGTTTGCTAGAACTGGGAAGCTCTGTGGTGAAGTTGTCAGCTCGTTCCCTCACACTGTGCAGCTGTGGGTTTGTTTTCAGAATCATTTGTCATTGGACCTGATTGTTGGAGTTTGTGCTGCTAGAGGGTGAGTGGTGATTGGTGAACAAACAAGCAAACGTTATTTTCACAAGGTTCACAATTGGGCTTGCAGGCCCATCTAACATTGTGCCTTTCCTTTCAGACATCATTTTTGCGTATGTAAACAAGTAATAATAGTCAACATTATCAACAGCAGCCAAATATTAAATACAAGCAGGGCAGTGTGTTCAGATGACACCTACATTCCTAACCACAGCAAACCATTGTCATTGTAATAAATATAGGGGAAATGTGCACTATTTCTAACATACTTTTACCTTTCAAGGCACATGTAATCTGTGCTGAGATAACATTCAAACAGTTTCCGATTGAATAAGTGGCATTTTAGTTTTCTTGTGGAAGGGGGTTCCTACACTTGAGCTGAGGAGTAGGCTAAAGTTGGTTTGTGTAGGTAGATCCTAGGTTTATGGAATACAAGCTGATGAAGTGGGTCCTTTCATCTTGAAACATGTGATGTGTTTTCAGCGGTTGAGGGGGGAGATGAAGGGAGTTGTTGACAAAGGCACACATCTCAAATATTGACAGCAGAATGTGAGCACACCACCCGGCAATGTTTCAGGAGACTGAGTATCTGTTCATTTGTCTGAGGGGCATATATGTGCCAACCATCCAGTCTAATCATGAAATAGACCAAGTTGTATTTGTTGATGAGTGACTGCAACATATTCCGGTTGTGTGCATGATGAACACATGGAGGAACATATTGGTGGAAGGCTGGGACAAGTAGATGGTGTAGGAACTGAGGTTGCACATACAGTCAAGGGTGTAGGAACTGAGGTTGCACATACAGTCAAGGGTGTAGGAACTGAGGTTGCACATACAGTCAAGGGTGTAGGAACTGAGGTTGCACATACAGTCAAGGGTGTAGGAACTGAGGTTGCACATACAGTCAAGGGTGTGGGAACTGAGGTTATACATACAGTCAGTGGTGTAGGAACTGAGGTTGTACACACAGTCAAGGGTGTAGGAACTGAGGTAGCACATACAGTCAAGGGTGTGGGAACTGAGGTTATACATAGTCAGTGGTGTAGGAACTGAGGTTGCACATACAGTCAAGGGTGTAGGAACTGAGGTTGCACATACAGTCAAGGGTGTAGGAACTGAGGTTGCACATACAGTCAAGGGTGTAGGAACTGAGGTTGCACAAACAGTCAAGGGTGTAGGAACTGAGGTTGTACACACAGTCAAGGGTTTATGAACTGAGGTTGCACATACAGTCAAGGGTGTAGGAACTGAAGTTGCACATACAGTCAAGGGTGTAGGAACTGAGGTTGCACATACAGTCAAGGCCAGTGTCAGTTTCTGAGAAACCAGAGATTGTGCCACAGGACAAGAGTACCTTTGGCTGGACATCTTCAGTTTCTGAGAAACCAGAGATTGTGCCACAGGACAAGATTACCTTTGGCTGGACATCTTCAGTTTCTTAGAAACCAGAGATTGTGCCACTGGACAAGAGTACCTTTGGCTGGACATCTTCAGTTTCTGAGAAACCAGAGATTGTGCCACTGGACAAGAGTACTTTTGGCTGGACATCTTCAGTCAGGGACAGAAGCAGAAATGTTTGGTGAACACAGTTACTGCTGGACAGGACTTTGGTTACTGAAACCTGACTATGATTGAACTATAATGTCCTTGGAACCCACAGGCCCATAGAAAGAAGAGAGATCTAATAGTATATAGAGAAGATATTGGAAGGCTAATTATTAATATGGGGAAAATACCAAATAATGAGGATGGACTGGTGATGGCAGTAGAAGAAGAATGACAGTCAAGCCTACCTGAATGGCTTCCAGGCTCCATTGTGGAGAATAAAGAATGGACTCACTGCCTCCCTGACATAGAAGGGGCCTCGTTAAGGCTGTTTCTGTCAGAGCCAGATCTGTAAAACAGATGTGCACGCAATACTCAAGTTCTGTATCAACACCAAAGTAGAGGAGTGGACGAACAGTCAGAACTTTCTACTAGAGTTTCCAGTCAGAGACCACTAACAAGGAGAAGACAGTCAAGCCAATGAAGGGTGCTGTGATACATCCGCCTATGGTGTGACAACCTCTGAATGGCAGACGGCAACGCATTTGAATCAGGTGCAGATATACCTGTCAAGTGAGTATCAAGACTGATGTATGGAACTGCCACATTGCATGTTACTAGAGTCCCAACAAGTCCTTGTACATACAAGTTAGGACTCTACATTACTGAAACTGAGCAGACGACACTGCTCAAGCTATTCGCTGACCGCCGTATCTAATACACTTAACAGTGACGAGTAATGAATGGTGATGAACGTCTGTCTGTCTTTCATAATCAACAAAAGATGCAGTTGCTCAGTAATAATAATAATACTTTCACTTCAACAATGACATGCGCTAGTGGGCTCCGGCATGTGGGCTCCGGCATGTGGGCTCCGGCATGTGGGCTCCGGCATGTGAGCTCTGGCATGTGGGCTCCGGCATGTGGGCTCCGGCATGCAGGCTGAGACACCCTGATGTCTTATGTGAAGACTGGGTTCATTCAATAATTCAGTCTTGGAGTTCCTGTTTGTAAGCTGTGGAAGTATATCGCTGCTCACAAGATACCCACAAGTTTAAATAACAGCCCTTTAGCACTGGCCAACAAGCCGGTGTCCAGCCATTCTCATGGCACGGGTTACCACACTGAGCTGGTGTCCAACCATTCTCATGGCACGGGTTACCACACTGAGCTGGTGTCCAACAATTCTCATGGCATGGGTTACCACACTGAGCCGGTGTCCAACCATTCTCATGACATTGGTTACCACACTGAGCTGGTGTCCAGCCATTCTCATGGCACAGGTTACCACACTGAGCTGGTGTCCAGCCATTCTCATGGCATGGGTTACCACACTGAGCTGGTGTCCAGCCATTCTCATGGCATGGGTTACCACACTGAGCCGGTGTCCAACCATTCTCATGGCACAGGTTACCACATTGAGCTGGTGTCCAACCATTCTCATGGCATGGGTTACCACATTGAGCTGGTGTCCAACCATTCTCATGGCACAGGTTACCACACTGAGCCAGTGTCCAACCATTCTCATAAAACAGGTTACGACACTGAGCTGGTGTCCAACCATTCTCATGGCACGGGTTACCACATTGAGCCAGTGTTCAACCATTCTCATGGCACAGGTTACCACACTGAGCTGGTGTTCAGCCATTCTCATGGCACGGGTTACCACACTGAGCTGGTGGAAAATAATCCACCTGGCATAAAGATGTTTGAAGGAATACCCATTTGGGTCTTGTTGCCAAAAGGCACAACTGCCAACAAGATATAGTGCATAACAGGTAACTGACTGGAAAGTCCTGCAACATCAGAAACTTCTCAACGGTACAATGTCTGTTATATCAGAACACTTAGAGCTGAACACACTCACAGCAGAAAGTGACTGGACAACAGTACTGGATAGCACCAGGAACTCAGTGGTTCTATCAGTAGGACTTGCTCAAACAGACTGCCTTTAGACGTCGTCTAAAGGTTAATTTATTTGTCCGAGACTTTCCTCTGGGGATTTCCCTATGCCAGGTCTCCTGAAGCACAAACCCAACACTTTGCTGCTAGACATATATACAAAGGTTTGTCTACAGTGGAAATAAATAAAGGGCACACAGCAAAGGGTACATTGTATCTGTGCCAAATATAGCCAGTGGTGCTATAGAGTCAGGAACAGTAGAGGAAACACCAACAGACATGAAATAGCTCATGGCAAGATGTCTGTCTGTCTGTCTGTCTGTCTACTGTAGAGTCAGGAACAGTAGAGGAAACACCAACAGACATGAAATAGCTCATGGCAAGATGTCTGTCTGTCTGTCTGTCTGCTGTAGAATTAGGTCCAGTAGAGGAAACACCAACAGACATGAAATAGCTCATGGCAAGATGTCTGTCTGTCTGTCTGCCTGTCTGCTGTAGAGTTAGGTCCAGTAGAGGAAACACCAACAGACATGAAATAGCTCATGGCAAGATGTCTGTCTGTCTGTCTGCTGTAGAGTTAGGTCCAGCAGAGGAAACACCAACAGACATGAAATAGCTCATGGCAAGATGTCTCTCTGTCTGTCTGTCTGTCTGTCTGTCTGTCTGTCTGTCTGTCTACTGTAGAGTCAGGAACAGTAGAGGAAACACCAACAGACATGAAATAGCTCATGGCAAGATGTCTGTCTGTTAACTTTTCACCCAGTCATATGTTAGCTAAGACAATTTTTCGTATTCACTGAGTCATGTATCAGCTAACACAGATTATCTCTTTCCTTCCACTTGAACTGCCACACCTTGCCGTTGTTCCACCTGCCCTGGACACAGTGGGAGATAATTTTTTCGGTAATACACACATTCGTTATCTTGTGATGGTTTCATGATCCTTTTTGTTTTCATGTCACACGTTTCTGCTGAGTGTTCATGTCACATGTTTCTGCTGAGTGTTTATGTCACATGTTTCTGCTGAGTGTTCATGTCACATGTTTCTGCTGAGTGTTCATGTCATATGTTTCTGCTGAGTGTTCATGTCACACATTTCTGCTGAGTGTTCATGTCACATGTTTCTGCTGAGTGTTCATGTCACATGTTTCTGCTGAGTGTTCATGTCACATGTTTCTGCTGAGTGTTCATGTCACATGTTTCTGCTGAGTGTTCATGTCAC